AACACTTATCAAACTACATTGTATCACTGACTGACTTGGTTTAAGCAGGTAGAATTAAAAAATAAATTTAAAAAAAAATTGTTGACAATTTTACGTAGGGACAACACATGACCTTACAACACATTTTGTGACAAAGTAAGTCATAATAAAAGGTTATCTTTAATGAGTAATACCTTATTTAGAACTGCAATATGGCATTTAAAATCCAATTAGTTTATTCCTTTCTCCACAGACAGAGGGGAAAAAAGAGGTAAACTAGCAACTGAGAAGAAAATAATACAACATAAATTGGTACAGAAGTGGTAGAAATGAGAACTGTGTTCATTCTGCTAACAGTGCATTCATATCGGTCAGATCTAAAGGGTACAAAAGACAAGCAAAATGTGCAGTCTGACTTAATTACAGTAAAAATGCATTGCAGCAAGAAATCTTTGAAAGTTTACGTTCAAATATAAGAGGAAAAAATCTTAAGAGGGATGAAGGAATAAAAGGAGGCAAGGAAGGCATGCAAAAAGCTGCCTGCCAGGAACAACCAAGGAAACTATCCTGTGTTTCCTCTTGGTTGGATGTAGCAGGATCACATTGAAAGGAGCTTTGGACTGAACCAATATCTACGCTCTGGGGCCCCCTCAATGGAAAAGGTGCCAGAAAAGACTGCTGACCCCAGTTTGCAAATGAGTCCTGATATCATTGCCTAAGTGGTTGTAGAGTTAATAGGAGTAGCCAGAAATCTTCAAAGCCAGTCTCCAGAATGCTCAGAACGCACTTAGCTTCTTGTGGCTATAAAAAGAGCATAAACAACTTTGAGGCAAAATCATGGATTCCAGATGCAGTATGAGGAATAAAATGGGTAACAGAAAAACTGAAGAGGAACATGTATGAATTTCTCAGGAGCTCAGGGTTATAAGAAGCACAGCATACTTCCCAACAGAAGGTTACCCATGGGCTCCAGTCCTCTGGAGCTTATACCTAGGCTGGGCTCTTTTCATGGACACTGAGTCTGAATGTGAAGAAACACCTTGTCATTCTATCCTTGGATTTCAAGAGGGAAGCTATTACCAGTACCTGACCATGGAACTCAGACAAAGCCCTGTCTTTCTTGAAGAGGCTAATATGCTGTCAAGGGCTTGCTTTATGTTTTGTACAGGTGCTCACAGAAAAAGCAGGTCATATGACACATAGCCACAGAAAAGCTGTAGCATCCTATAGCCCTGAGATAGATCACCTTGCATTTTTCAGAATTCAACTTACACAGTTGGATGGTGTCCAGGAAGATGGCCTTATAAAATAACCTAAGAATTTTTTTTTCTCAGAAGGAAGATGATCACTCAGGCACAATTCCTGAAAATATTAGGAACTTTAGGGGTTTTGTTTTGTTGTTAGGGTTTTTTTTTGTTTGGTTTGGGTTTTTTTTGGGGGGAGGGTGTCATTGCTGTTTTTCTAAAGTGCCCAAAAAACAGCATCAGATTTGTAGCACTGAACCACAGAGATTTCCCAGAGACAACCTGGCTATTTCACAGTCCAGCATACAATTTTTGAAGTGTAGGGCTATGCTGGCATATTAACACTTACATGGCACATGACAGCACCTAGTGTAGCCCAAAGGCCACGACTTTGGAGAGCAATGACTAAGCTGCTCTGAGCCAGCTGAGTACAGATGGATCCATGCCGTCAGTATGAGCTATTCCCAACTCCGACCTTGAGTTTCTTTATCGGGAAAGCTATTTAGCTTCTGTCACAGCTGAGAAGGAATCCATAAAAAGACATAAGCAACATGGCCAGTGAGGAGCCGATGGGCGGTGGGGACAGGTGAGGGAGGAGAAGGTGAACTCAGCTGTTTACATGATGGTATAGAAACCTGAACTGATCAACACGTTAGCCAGTTCATTACAAATACAAATATCTTTACATTTATATCTCACTCACTGCTTATTCCACTGTACAAGCAATCTGTCTTCAAAAAGAAAATAGTCACTCAAAAGAAATGTGTTTTCTTCAGGGAGTTTACAGCTGGTATCCATAATACAGTATTTCATTTTCTATGGAACAGATTCTCATGCACAAATTATTAATACTATTGAATCTAGGTGATCAACATACCAAACTATAATGCTGTCCCAGTGATTAAAGCATACTATTAGAATTTTACCCATACAAATAAATTTTAATTTTAATTAATTTATTATTTAATTAAATTATTAATTTATTATATTTAATTAATAATTTTAATACTTTGGATTTACAAATCCATGTACATTATGGATTATGTTAACAAGTATAGAATTTGTTAACAAGTACATACTTTTAAGAAAATGACTGAATTTTCCACTGATTTTGATTAAACTTGCTAGTGTATCCAGGACAATAATCTGTAGTACATTATCTCAGAATCAGGCACATAACAGTTCAGACTGTTTGCAACACACAATACAAACTGGTAGCAAACAGCGCCTCTGAGAGTGGCTTTTCACAAAAGATTTCCTGATTAGCTACAGATTTTCATAATGACCACCAAAGAAAAACCGGGGAAGACAAAGCTCAGAAATAACTTGAAAATGCTGATCTCACCTTGTTTCATATATACAAGATTTTCACCAGTCCTGAGCAGCAGCTCCACAGGTAACTGCCAGAGAATTTCCAACTCCTATGAACAACCAGCTAAATATTCATTTCTAAACATCATTATTTTCTCCAATACTACAACAGCACCTGGAAGTCCAGGCTGGCACACCATTTTTATGCAAGAGATGGCTACCGAAGTATCATTCACTATATCTCTGGTAACAACTCTCACAAAAATTTCTAGATACATAAAATATGTAGATATTTTAGTACAGTGGTAGGATTGATGAGCCACAATGAGAAGGAAGATTCTGCACAATCAAGGGCAGGAAGAAAAATGAAGAGAGAAAACCAAAGGGAAAGATATAGATTACATAGTCCTACCTCAAAGCAGGCTAGGATACCTTGTTCTTGTTTTTTTTTTTTTTTTTAATCCAAGCTATACCTTGGCTAGCCTGTGCCTACAATATTCTGCTTATTGTAAATTACTCACACAATACAAGCCTTGTGCAGGACACAAATTCACTACAGCTGTCTCATAATAGCTGAGATGCAAGGTGTTAGAATAGACCAGAATAAAACTCTCACTTTAAAAAAACCCAAAACCACTTTAGAGTGTTTATTGTAGATCAAAACGTTGCAGGAGGTCAACAGAGGAAGGGGTTATTCCAATAATAAATTATCTTCTGGATGAAGAGATTAATTTGATGCTCACCATTTTCCCCTCTCATTTCTGCAGTAAATGACATATTTCAGTGTACACACAGTAATTTCTACTCCAGTTTCACGTATCCCAGTTTCCCAGTATTATCCCATCATATCTCAAGGTATTTCCCACAAGGAACAGTAGACATTTCTGGGTAGTTCAGTTCTGCAGAATGAACTTCCAATCAGTAAACACTAAAAGCAATGAATCTGCATGCCCATACGTTCTTCAGTCTGGGCTGGCTAAAAGCTAAAACTCAATTCAGTTTTCCAAGGACTAGGATGATATAAAGTGTGTAGGGAATACTGCTTTTGCTGCTAGTTCTGGCTGGTCAGGGTCCACTTTGCTACACTGGTTGTAATGGTGAGTTTAGTTTGGAGAGCTTGAAGAGCTTGAATCCAACTCTCCACTACCCATGTGGGATGGCACGATTTGCCAGAAAATGATAAGTTATACTGCACTATTCTTATGGAAGAAGTTTCTGGACAGAGTGATTTCTACCCAATATAGAAGCGACACTCCCACTCCTTTCAACCAAGAATTCATGTGTTCTGCTCAGATGCACTGGCTCTTTCAAGCTGGGAATTGTTCTTTTGATATCAGAGTTCCTTCTTGCCCAGCAATTCCTGCTGTGCTTATTTCCTAATTTTCCAACGCTTCCACTTGGGCATATTTCCTCTAGTTAAAATCCCTTCTTAGTTAAAATCACTTCCTCAGCGACTCATTTTTCTAAACCTCTAGGATAAGGTCGCTAAACTTCTTCTCCGTATCCATCATCTACGTTTCACATGTATTTCCTGCCAAGCCCAGTAAAATTTTGGCTTCCTCAGAATCCTTACCTCCTTAGTTATTCACCTTCCCAAAACCTTTGCCGACTGATAGGACACATTTTCCCCTTTGTTGCCCGACAATCCTTTCCTATTCCTTTCTCCTCTTCAGTTATCCCATTGGTATTTACTCCTCCCTGCCCTTCTGAATACCCTTCCTGCAAATTTTATCAGGAAAAAATGTATTTATCATTCTTCTTCCAAATCCGGACATCGCCCTTCTTCTCTGTCTGGGTCAGTTTCTCTCTTTTCCTCCCCAATCCCTTTTTCTTCTCCTGAACCGCGCAAACCTTCTCACAATCTCCTCTGGCATCCGCTCCCCAGCTCCTTTGCTCTCCACCACATCTGTCCTGCCCCGGCTCCTACCACACATCCCGAAGCCTCCCTGCCTGCCCGTCCCACCCTGAGACCGGCCCCAAACTCCATCCCCAGCAGCTGGCGAGGCGCGGAGGAGCCAGCCCTGCCCAGCCCAGCCCAGCCCCGCCTAACCCTGCCCAGCCTAGCCCTGCCCAGCCCCGCCTAACCCTGCCCGGCCCAGCCGCCGAGCCTGGAGCCGGGTCGCTCCGACACAGCGCGGAGCTTTGGGATCGGGGCGCCCTCCAGAGGCACGGCCGAGCCCTGCCCTGCCGGCCAGAGCCGGGGACACCCGGCAGGGACGCGGTGCAGCGGAGGTCAGGGCAGCCCTGGCGCTTCCCACACCCGGGGAGCGCGGCCCGTTCGCGGCTGCTCTACGTCCACTTAGCTGCTGGGGCGGAGAGAGGGAGGGCGCAGCTCGTCTCCCGCCCCCTGTTCGCCTTCTCCTCCTCCTCCTCCTCCTCCTGGTGCCCGCCCCTTGTTCCTCCTTCCCTCCCTGCCGCGCCGGCGAGACCGCGAGAGCGGCGCCCGCCCCGCCAGGGCGAGGGAAGGCGGCGCAGCCCGCGGGCAGGAAGCTGGATGAGGACGTGTGTGCGGGCGAGGCAGCCCCTCGGGCATGAAGGGGACTGCGGGGACTCTGCCCTGCCCTGCAGCCGAGCGGGGACATCAGGTAATCGCCCCACATTCCTGCCCGGTCCGAGCCACACGCTTCCAGTGCCGGGAGAGGGCAAGCGTCCCCTGGAAAGTTGTCCTGCCGCCGCCAGCCGAGGGGCGAAGGCAGGGGAGGCGGGCGGGAGGCAGCCCGCGGTGCAGGGCGGCACATCGGTGTGTCGGCAGGAGCCGCTTGGAGCTCCGGTGCCCCAGGCTGTGCCTCCCCGGCGGGAGCGCTGGGAGCGCGGCCCCGGCATCCCGCGGCTCGGCTCTGCTGTCAGCGGCCGCAGCGCGCCCGCGGAAAGTTTCCAGCGGGGCGAGGGGCAGAGCGGGAGAGAGGGCGAGGATCACCGCGGGACGGGAGCGCCAGGGACAGGGAGAAGCAGCCTGTGTGTGTGCCGTGGGTAGCGGGTGCCGCAGCTTCCCCCCGGGTGGCAGGAGCCGTGCTGCCAGCAGTTCGCTCAACTTGTTTCGTTTTTTTCACTTCGGTTTGTTGGCGGAGGAATAGGATCAAGTATCCCTGCAAGTGTAGTGTCGGCATCTTTAATGGCTACATCTTACTCTTGTGTGAAATTTACCTGCCTGCTTGTGTTAGTTTAGGTATGTTTAGGAAAAACAAACTGCGAAGTCTTACCTGAAAGAGACGCACAGGAGTACGCCTGAGACTTCAGGAGGTTTGTTGTGTTATGTGACGTAACAGTAAATGCAACTGCTGTTCTTTTTGATTCGCATTTCTTTGGGGCTTTTTAGCTGAACATCTGTGGATTAAGCAGAAACTTTTAGTAAAATGTGTGAATCATCATAACGCTGTTGGAGATCAAATCCCAGTTTAAATGTTTTGCAATTATTTTCTTCCCCCTTTGCTCATAATTTATAAAGGGCAGACTCAAGTAGTTTGCTTAGTTTAACTGAAGTAACTTAAGGAATCCAAAGTGAGCAGAGTTCCACACGGAGGTTTTAGGTACCTTTGCTTCAAAGCAAACAAACAACATTGAACGACTTTAAAGAAAAATAACTAATCAAACAATCTGTACCTTGGGAAGCCTCCTTCCCTCCCAGCCTGAACAAAGATGTGTACATTGCAAATTACACTGAGAGTGGAAAGATTCAAGCCGTTTCAAATGAGGCAGTTTCCCCTTACAGAGAATGTTCTGTGCTAACACGCTTGGTTAATTGGAGATAGTCTACCTTAACTATCAGCTGCAGTTCCGTTTTACTTAACAAACTTTCAAATACCAAGGTAATTCCACAATATTTGTTGGAAAATGTGAAGGAAAAACTTAAATGCAACAAACTTAATTTCATTAGATCAAAGAAGTATGAGTAGCTTTTTTGGTTTGGGGGTTTATTTGCTTGGTTTTTAATAGAACAAATTTGAAACCAGATTTAGGGGAGCATTCAAAAGCAGACTAGATTTGGTAACGACATCTGTTGCTGCAGATAATGCCTGGTTGTTGAATATTGATAAGGCACCATACTTAAGGTGATTTTCAGGTTGAGACTTTTCTTAATAGGCACATGGATATATCCCTTTAGAAGGTCCATCACAGTTAATGACCCAATGCAGCTCTAAGGCTTCTTTACATGTGCTCAGGCTTTTATTAGTGGACTTTTATCTTGCATTAAGCTGAGAGAGGGCTGAGGAAACAGGAGAATAGACATGTGTAAAACTTGAAATGCTTCCCACTTTTCTGCATTTTGTTCACTGGGTTTTTTTATTTTTTCTTTTTCATTGTCAGCTTCAAATACAACATCTCTCTGGGCTTTCATGCAAGCGGCAGGTTTTATTAAACATATGATACAATTTTCTATTGTAAAATGTTCTGTAGTTCTTACTTCCTTGGAAAGATAAGATATGACTAGGGAATCATCATTTTTCTTGACACTGTGACAGTTAAAACTTGGTTCACATAGGAGCGAGCATGTGCAGTGTATTAAAAGGAGATGTCATTCTGAACTGTGTGAAAAACTTTTCAATGTTTTTTTTTTTTATGGAGGTGAATATATTGCTTGTAAAATCACTTCTAGGATGTAACTAAAACACAAGGATGAATTGCTGTAGTGATATTTGGTCTAATTTAGGATTTTTGGTATAGTTGTAATATTTAGAAGCCTATAGATTTAATGCTCAGTTCTGTAACCAGATATTTGAATTAATTTTATTCATATCAGCATCTTAGTTAAATTCACAGAAGTACTGGTACTTAAGCTATGCAGAGATAGAATATGGACAGAATATACTGAAGCAAAATGCTTTGTTTGCTAATAAGATATCTGTTCTGATAAAATATCCAAATTGTATATAGGAATTGCTGTCAAAAGCTGAGCTCATGTTAGAAGTCAGAAGTTTAAATGTGGCTGGGTGTCCAACAAATGTTCTTTTACAGCATGCGAAATCTTAAGCAATGAAATTAGCCAGGTAAAGCAAGGGGAGCCTAGAAATTGCCATTAAGGTATGAAAGTGTGGGAAGCTAGGTCAAGGGGGAAAAAGAAGGAGGAACTTAGGGGTTGAGGGTTTGGGGTTTATTTGCTATGATTTTTTTTGTTTGTTTGAGGGGGAGCTTGTTTGGTTGGTTTTTTAACATAAACATTTGCTCTAAAAACAAAGTTACTGCTTTTGAAGGTAATGCATACCTTGGAATTTTGGGTAAAGGTGTTCATGAGGGAACAAGTGAGGTATTTGCTTTTACCTGAAAACTGTGGTTACATATACAGCTTTTTTTCTTATAGTTTTGTTTGCAGACCTTGTACTGCTATATTTAAAGGCATCTCTTGGACCATGATAGAAAACTTTTTACTTCATTGTTAAACCTATCTGGTGTGGTTGGAGTAGATAAAATCATGGTGAAACTAGTTAACTGTGTTTAGTGTTTTTACAAATGCAAGAAACTGATAAAAAGTAGAATATACTGGCTAAAGAAAATTGCATCTTAATTACAAGTTCAGTTCCCAGCACTGAGAAGTACATATGATAAATCTGTAAAAAGACAGGACTAGATTTAGGGAAAAGATTCCTTCTGGTCACCACAAGTAACATTCCTACAGAATGAGCTTTCACTTTGCATGCACATTCTGGGTGTTGGTTTCCTCTCAACTGAAAGACTCCTGATTATTTAATTTTTGCTTTCTTTGTCACCTTTTTTAGACCTCTGGGAGTTAATATTTTCTGCTGAATTCCTCTAATTTCTCCCTTTATTCCATAGTAGAGAATGTTCTGTAAGGAAATTACAGCTGTAGCCTTACCAACCAGTAAACTGTAAAGATTAGCTTGAGTTCAAGGTAGTGTGTTGTCTTTTATGTAAGAATATAGTATTGCTGGTCATTTTTACTCATGGTAACTCTAACCACCAAAATACCAGAATAGCTACACATTGTGTGTCCTAATCCACTATTTTCTCAGTTGATTATTTTTAGTTAAACTATTTGCATTCTTTAATTGTATCTTAATTTTCTCCTAGATCATGTTTTCAGTTTAACATCCTTATTCTGAGTTTTAGTCCTGTATACCAAGATTTCTAGTCCTGGCTTCTAGATCTCTTTGACCTAATGTCATGCTTGGATGTAAAAACTATACTCTGTCACTTCTCATATTAATAAAGTGATTAATATCTATCAGGAAAGACTAGACGAGCCTTCTCTTTATATGGTAATGTAACGTTTTCTTAATTAACCAATCTAATGGGTTTCAGTCCATAGGTATTATAAGAGTGTATAAATATGGGTATTAGTGTCTTTTAGAAACCATTATGAAGTCCAAAGCAGGAGTAGTATGTATATGTTCGAAAGGTTTTGTTGCAAAACATCACAGCTTTAAAGGAAAGAAAGTGCCTTTCAATTTAGAAATTCTTTTTAATACAATAGTTTTACTGAGCAACCAAATACCTTTTCCTGAGTCAGGTCAAAATACTCCTGGGCAGTGTCCCTTGCAATTGTATCACATATACTATTTGTAATTAAAATACTGTACACAAACCTCATGAAAATTGACAAGGTAATAGAAGTGCTAGTTTTACTTTTTAGTTTCTGGCAATTATTTGTAGTAAGTAACTTTAGTCACCAGGTAATGGGGAATAATATGTCAAATTACTGAGCTGTCAGATTAACTGCTATGCTTTAGATAATTTCTAAGGGTCATTCAAGTTTCACATTTGTACACATTTATGGAAACATTAGAGGAAAACTAAAATAGTGTTATGAAAACTGATTTTCTGTTAGGGGTGCATGGCACTGAAAACCTTAAGAGTCTTTTATGAAATTTGATGTTACCTGTTTTCTACTAATATGTAGAGTCTTAGGTTTAACAGAGTGATTCTGAACATCTAATTATTTTTTTTTCTGCTTCACTGAATTGACTCACTGTGATGTTCCAAATTAATATATTTGTCAATATTGCTGTCAAGTCACATTACATGTATCAGCCTCTGAAACTGAAGAATTACTTTTGGAAACTTGGATATATGTGAGTCATACAAAAGTACCTAAATAAATTCCTTGCTTGTGGTTGTGCATTAAGCATTCTGTACTTCTGAGGATGTATTTACTATAAATGATTCTGAAAACTTTATAATATCATGCCTGTATAAAACTGGAGAGTTAGCTTCTATTTGTTTTCTAAGAATTGCACTAAGGAATTTTGTGTATTGAACATTCTTGCTATTATCAAAGATACTGTAAAAACATGGTTTTTACAGAAAAGTAGATCGCTTTTCAGATAGGAGCTTCGAGGAAGGAGTTCCAAGATTCAAGAAATTGCACAATGTACACCTAAACCCCCGTTCATTAATCTAAAAATGACATAATAACATAGAAAAGTTGATTCTAAACCAGCAATTTATTTGGTTTCAGAAACAAGGAATTTTTGTCCATAACGATCTGTCACTTTCCCCAAATTATTTATTTTCTAATGAGGAATTATAAACTAATATACAATTTTATTTGAGAAAGATGTTGTATGTGAAAAATCATAGCATGATGCTGGTTCCCTGATTTGATTTTCTTGGATGCAGCACTTTCTCAGGC